GCTGTCCATTGTCCCCCCACAAATTGATATGACTATGCTAACATGTTATCTCACAAAGGGCAGTCATAAATAGGAAGAGCAAATATTTTGAAATGAATATTCAACGGACAATCTCCTGAAGAGGTTAGGCATTGCTGGAAGTGCCTCCCTTGAAAATCTTTTTCCAAGATTGCCCTTTCCCAGATACCATTGTAGGATGGCTCTCTTTCCTGGGTTGAAATGGTGGCTCCAGAATACAACGGCAGACTAATTTATGTGTTCCCCAAACTTTAAATAGTTGTCCTTTACTCCCAGGTCTACAAAATATCTGCCACAGAAACCTTTCACATAGAAGGATGTCATGTCACATGTATATTGTTAATGTAACTATGGTAACCAAAAAATGCCACCAATGTGTCTGTTTCATACACAAATGAGGGGACAGCTGTGGAGTCCACATGTCTGCCAGTGGTATAATAGATGTGAGCTACGACAGCCTGGGTTGGAAAATTACAATTCATTTATATTAATCAGAGCTTTCAAGTAACACTCAACCTCTGAGCAATAAAGAGTGTAAATGGAAAGCAATAAGCCACTCTAAAAGCAGTTTGCACTCTACAGATTTTAAAACTAAGTGTCTTAAGCTGATACAGCAGCATCTTTAGAAGGTACTCTGAAGGCAGAGTGGACAAGAACTTGGGAATGTATTATTCCAAGCTCACTCCTGGCTTCTTTGCATCTCAGGGATGATTTTCAGTTTATTAGGTACAATGGTTCCATATAAGTTAAATGTTTCGTTTTGGTACTGGAAGCATGGCTTACAGAAACATTTTGGTAATCTCACTGATTATGGCAGTTAGTCCTTCCAGCCTTATTCTCGCAACTCTATTATGTTACACATGACAAAAGTGAGGGTTGGTATGGAGTTAAACGACTGATCCAAGATCATCCAGCTATGACTGGGTAATAGCTTGTTAACCAACCAATCAACTGATAAAACTGTTAATAAAGCTCGACATTTGCCTAGAGCTTTGAAAACATTCGAAAAGTAAAAAATATAATAGTAGTAAGCTTGCATATTGTTTCTTTTAAAAAACTGTAACATAAAATAGTATGTATTTTAATTATACTTCACAGTTCTACAGGGTGCCTGTAAAGTCTGGAAACTTTTATCATTTTATCATGGATTATAATGCAATGTCAATAAACCATTTATCATGCATTTGTCTATATTTCAAAACTTGGAAAGCTACTTTCTGTAATCTATAAAGTAGGTGAATGGCAACATGCTAAAACAAAAAATTAAAAAGCAAACTTCACTTAAAAAGATTTGTAGAACAAATAGATCCCTTGGTCACTAAAGTATTGAATTTTACAGATATGGTTTAACTTCTGTCTCTATTCTGTACTTTGAGCCAAAACAAGAGAGAATAAATGTTTCCCTGACTTCATCTGTATAAATATAATTTCATCCTGAATTAAATATTAATCAGAGCTCTATTCATGAGGTAAAGATACTTTCATTGTTCTCAGAAACATGATTCTAAATGATCATATGATTCTAAAATGGAATTTGCTTTATATCCAGAGTAGCTTAACCCAAAATAGATGTTCAACATAATTTTTAAAAATTAAATACAATGTTTGAATAACCTGACATTAATGCTGAAATGAATCATTCAGAGCACTATTATTTTGTAACTTAAAAATAAATTTTAAGTAAGCATTGTGAAAATCTCATAAAAATGACATCTGCATCCTATAATTTACCATATTTTATTTATGACTTATGGCCTACTTCTGCTGGTGTAAAAAGCCCACCATTCTGATTATTTATCATCATTATTTTTATTCCAGTGGCTTGAGAAGTAGCAATGTAACTCTGTAGAGATAGATTTTCTTTAGTACCTAGTATACTCCCATGAGTGTCACTGCTTTAGAATATGTGGTAATAGCTCTAGCAGTTCAGGTCAAGAAGGAGGCCTTAGCACAGACTGACCAGAGAGAGATCAATGGTTGATTTTTTCCTTCCTTTTTCAGAATTTCAGACATTAACCAGTGCTAGCTGAGGTTATTTTTTAGAACCACAGTCTGCAGGTGGATCTGGTCTTGAGATACTTAGCAGAATGATCCTTTTCTAATAATTAAACACTTTATTACTTTTATTTACCAAGAAATGTGTTCCAATCTTTTCTTTAATGAGACTTGCAGAATAAAGATTACACACAGGGAGGTTAATTGCCAAAGATAAGTTTTCACAATATGAGGGTCATTTTTAAGTTACCAGGTTTCAAAAATACACAGATGATAACTTTACAACAAATCACTTTATAGTCTAGAAATGTCAAGTTTAAGTTACCCTTCAACTCTATCAGGGAGACAGAATCCCAGGTGTGAAGAGTCAAATTAAGAGCTTATTACAATAATTTGTTACTTTCTGACTTCTGTATAGCTCTAAGACAGAAAATGCAAACTTGGCTATCACATTTTCTTACTTAAATTTGATTCAATTCATTTTTCCCCTCCTGGGAAAATATTGCCTTATGTATTAAAAGGCACTGAACCAGCAAAAAGTAACTTAAGGGAACATGTAAAATAGCAGACTAACATCTGTTGTCTACCCCTCCCCCCAAACACTGAGTCCTCCAAAACAATGTTGTCTTTTTTTCTGGTGGGAGTGGGGGGTGTTGTATTTTAATGTCCCTTTCAGTAACTATATAGAATACAGGGGCAAATGCTGTTCGGTGAATAGGTTTTTTTTTTCCCTTCAGCAGTGTTTGAGGTTGACAAAAGAAGAGGCCACTGGGGCTGGTTAGTCCTAGGTATTAATATAATCGCCTGCCTCACGTTTGGCCTTTTGTTCGGCTGTCACACAACGCCAAGAGGTGAACAGTGCAGTGTGGTCACTAGGCTAACGTTAGACACGGCAGAAAGGCCCTTGCTCCAGAGTCTACTGCATGACTGCCTCCCCATTCACTGTTTTGTGACCTGAAAACTACTCGGGTAACGGGATGGGACACCTGCATCACCTGCAGTTCTACAAGTTTGGCATCTTAAGAACCGAAATGACTTTGACTAGACAGTGGACATTCTCACGAGATCTTCATGTCAGTCAATGACAATGATATTCTACTATCATGAATAGCTCTGACTATGAGGACCAAATTTGAGCAAGAGTCAAATTATTAAAAGAAAACTCAAGAAGTTGAGGGGTCAATTCAGAAATCACTTCAAGCCGCCAGAAGTGGATTAAAGTTACTGTTAGCCTCACATAAACCTTTTCCTAACTGGCTCACAATATGCAGCTTGAATATTGCACGAATATATACAGCCAGGTAAAGAGCAAGCAGCACTTGGAACTTTCAATACAATAGCAGTTAAAGAATTTGGCTCTTGAATAAAGGTGTCAGCAAGCCATGGAATTCCCAAACAGAACAACTCATACTGCTTCTTTATTCTATTTTCTTAAGGTCTATTGTTAACTGAAGACTCCTTGTCTTTTCAAATTCCTTCATGTGAATGGATGAGGCCAGACATCTGCCAGGATCCGCTCACATTTGCATGCAAATCAGAGACTTCAGGACACATATGGCCCTGGAGCCAATAACACTTTTACTCTAGATTTATACTGATCAAAGTGCCTTCCTGAACTTTCCACTCCTCCAGCCCTAGCTTTTACAAATGAAGTAATGAGTCTATTCCGCTAATATTACTTGGACTGTCATGGCAAAACAATACAAAACATATTGTCTTTTAGAAAATCCTACACGCAAAAGCCCGAGTCGGCAGTACCTGCTCCCTCACCCAATTAGAATTCTACTCTTCCTTTACGATTTAGGTTTGGGAATGAAAATACTTACGGCGGGATGGGATTTAGACTCTTAGCCTTTTCCTTTGCCTTTGAGGTTCAAGTGCTTCAAAACCATTTGCACCCTGGCTGGTCATTCACCCACGGCCAGGCTCTGTTCTTGGCGTTGGGGCTACAGCGGTGAACACGGCAGGCAAGGTCCCCTTCTCCTGGAGCAGACATCCCGCCGAATCGCCCGGTCGGCGTAACCTCGCGGGCTCCCCCCGGAGCCGTCCCGGGACTTGCGGCCTTCCCGCTCCGGACTTTCCGCTCCCCTCGCCCCGGCCAGCCAGGCAGGGACTCCCTGGGCGGGACGCGGGCGCCGCGGGAGGCGGGGAAGCGCCGAGTCGGCGGCTGCCCACACCCCTCTCCACACAGCACAAAGGACACTCGCTGGCAAACTTTCCTCGCTTCTGACCCAGGCCGAGCCGAGAACTCAGCGCCAGCTCGGTTCCTGGCGGGGATGAGGCTTCCCTAACATTTTGGGCTGTCTGGCAAGCGTCCTGAGGCTGCCACTCCTTCCGGGCTCAAAGCTCACAAGCTGACGTCTATCCCCGCGTGGACCGCCGATAGTTAGGTAGATTCCTCCCAAGGCTCTGACTTCAGTACATTCAATGCCTTGTCAATTATGCCCTCTGCCCCTTTCTCTTACCAAGGCCACCGCCAAGACACCCTTTTTCTTTTCTCTCCCCATAATCCGCCACCTTCCTTTCCCTCCTCTTGGCCGTCTTTCCAACTCCCTGAGCTGGCTCCCTTTCCGCGCTTTCCTCCAGCCCCAGCTGCCTTCCCCAGTTCACATCCCGGTTGCCCTCCTCCCTCCCAGTCCCGGGCACCACCCTCCCCTGGTCGGCCCCTGAAATCCAGCGGGCTCGGCTCCAGCCACTGCCTTTTGCCTGTTTCTATCCGGCCTTCCTCCCCAACTGTCGCTCTCCCACACCCTGGTTTTTTCTTTTTGGTGGGGGGAAACGGGGAGACCGGGCACTATATTCCCGTTTCCTCACTTCGTCATTTTCCCCAGCTCCATGAGCCGCGCCCCCTGGTCCCCCTTGGGCCCGCGATCTTACCCTGCGGTTCCCCAGACCCTGTAGGGTCCCCCACGCCACCAAGTTTGCCTCGACTTCCCCTCGTTGCCTCCCACACCTCCCGCCGCGGCCCGGCTGGCCAGGGCACTTACCCCGAGGCCCAGCTGGTGGGGGTGTCGGGGTGCGCACGGACCCGGCACCCGTGGCGGCGGCGGCGGCGGCGGCAGCAGCAGCAGCAGCAGGAGAAGGAGAACGACGACGAGGAGGAGGAGGAGGACAGGCTGAGCGGCGCCTCCTTCCCAGCCCGCAGCGCGCACTGGCTCCTCGGGGGACCCCCGGCAGAGCACCAAGACAGGAGGCGAGGCGGCGACACAAGCAACAGCTGCTGCACGGGGCTGGGCTCAGTCGGCTCTTGGAGGCCAGGGCAGGGGCAGGCAGGAGTGGGAAAGAGTGTCGGAGAAGTGAGGTGCAGAGGGCGGGGCAGCGAGCTGCCAGGTCCGGAGGAAGGCGCCCCAGGCGCGTAGGGATGCCGCTGCGCGCTGGCTGTCGCCCGGGCTGACGCCGCCGGCCGTCTCCCCACCCGGCGGGCGTTTGCAGCCGCGGGCGCACGGGCACGCTTCGCTCCCCAGCTCGCTGCCGGCGCCCTCGGTGCGCCCCGCTTTGTGCTCCCCGCAGCCGGCGTGCACCTGGTGTAAGCAAAGGCGGTCAGCTGATGGGCCGCGCGCGGATTGGCTGCTCTGCCGTCTCCTCCCCTCCCGCCCGACCCCCTTCCCGGACTCCCCCTCCCGCCCCCGCCCCCGCCCTCGGCGTAGCCCCGTGCTGGGCACCATCTGTAGCCCGGCCAACAAAGGCGCAGCGCTGCTGGCCTCGGGTGGTCTGGCCGAGCTGCGCCGCCGCGGTCGCCAGTGCAGGGAGCAGCCGGCCGCCGCTTTTTGTCTAGGGGACAGCAGGCTGCGGCTGGTTAGGGAGGCGAGGCGCACTGCTGTTTCTTAGCAAAAGACAGACCAAGAGGAAAAAAACGTCTATGCTAGGAGGCCAGCTAGGCACAATGGGGCCACATCTCTGTGCAACGCAGAAGTTGGGCTCCGGGGCTGAGAAGCAGACACAGTTCGGCCCAGGATTGTGACAGCCAAGTTTCCGGGTGAAATCCGATCCTGCGTCTTAAAATATAGGGCGCGTCCTCCACTCGGTGTGCGCGCCCAGGGACGTCCTCCGCGGACCTGGCCCGGCTGGTGCCCTTGCCGCGGGAAGGAGGATTGGGAAGCTTACCTCAGTGGCAAAGCCGCTCCCCATTTGAGGAGGCTTTCTGAAAACGTTTCTGAAACTTTGAAATTATAGCTTTCTGATTAGTTAGGTGTACAAGTTGTGTTTAAATAGGCGGCAGAGGACTGAGAACGCAGTCCTAAGTGGAGGGTCGGGAGGGAATTGGTCTTAAGAAACTGCACTTGAACCGGCGTCTCAATTTCAAAGTCGCCAGCAAGCACAGAGCAGGACCCCGGAGAAGCCTTGGCACTCTTTACTGGGGGAATGTGCTTTAAGCGAAAGCATCATTAGACCCTCAGTACGGAACCACTTTGGGGAAAGGATTGTGCTGACATTTCATTATGATGTCTAAGCTTAAAACTTCTGGAGTATTTGGAAGGATTTATTACTAGAGAATAATCTTTTGGATTCTTCTAAGCCACGGGATAAATTCAATGTCAGTAATCATATTCTTGATCGTTCTAACATTTATTGGCGTCTCACATAGGTCTGATAAACGTTTGATGTCCTTATGTGTTCACATACTTTGCTATCCTGAAATTGTGTCATGCAGACATCAATGGTCACATTGTGTTTTAGAAGGCTATAAGAAAAGATGATATTAGCACTTGGGCTAGAACATCGTGCAGACCAGAGGAACAGCTAGAGAAAAAAGCCCTCTGCTGTCTACAAATGAATAAGATTTAAGATCTTTCAAAGCAAGTTGTCTAGACCCTTACCCAAATTTTGTAACATGATTTTGTCTCTTTCCCCGCTTTTCATGCAGATTATCCATGGAGTTAGCATGCAGAAAGCATGGAGTTTGTCTGACAGAAGGTGGCCTCTGGTAGAAGCACAGAACTTGAATGGTCAGGGAAAGATAGAATGGAGGTTTCTTAGGGAGTCTCCATTAGGTTTCCAGCCTGTCTTCCTGGGAGTGGAAGAGAGATGAGATTGTGCCCTTCAAGGAGGAGCTTTACAGAGAGGTCTTAGAGGAGCATTTGGAGCAACTAATGATGGTGACAGTTGCTCCTAGGAGGCAAAATCTAGAACAGCCTCCAGGTTTTGGAAGAGACTTTGTGAGAATGGTATGAGTCAGGGACCAATATATGAATTCTGAAGCCAGGCCAACAGCGTTTTAAATCCCAGCCCTGTAATTTATGAGCTGTGTCCCTATGGGTAAGTCACTTTATCTCTTTAAGCCTTCGTTTCCTTGGCTCTAAAGTAGGGTTAATAACAGTACTTATCCCAAAGGATTATGATGGTTAAGTGGGAGTAAGCACGTCAAATGCTTAGGACAGTGCTTAGTATACAGTAAGCATTCAACGACAGTTGTAAACTGTAGGCATTATTAGGCAGGTATTGAAGACTAAAAGAAGACATCAGTTCAGACAGGTGGGCTGATGATTCCACATGTGACAGAATATCTCAAAGGCACTAGCTGTTCCAGTGGAGGAAATGGACTCTGTCTCCCCACTGTTCAATTCATTTATTTTTAAGTTAGCGTGTCATTTATTTAAACTAATTTCCCTCTTCCCCAAAGCAAGAGTGAGAAAGGCAGCTTTGCCTGTTTCTACTTGACCACTGCATGCATTTGGTTCCAGACAGAGAGAGCATTATCATTAGGAAGACATGTGTGTCAGGGATGTGGGAAGGAATTTGGGTGAGAGGATGGGGCTTGCTGTGTACAGAAGAGGACAGATGAGCATGGCAATTATGAAAGAGTCTGAAATTTGGTACAATTATTAGAAATTTGCTCAGTTACCTAAATTGGTAATTGGTTCAAATTTTAGAAATTACCATTTTTTAACTCTGCAAAGGGGTTTCGAGACTATCTTGTTAACTGATACTTAAAAACTCCTTGTCATTGGGATGGATGAAGAGGAAACACCAAGTCAGTGTACCAGCATAACGAAACCAAATCTCTTACTTGCTTCTTGCTTAAAGCGCTCAAATCCCTCTGAATTACTCCTAGTCAGCTCACACAGTCCTGGGATCCTGAATTCATTAGTTAGTAAAAAAGCACTTCATGGTTATTTATTAAGGTATGGTAGAAGACCTTGGAATCTTTGAAGGAGAAGGAAATTGGAGACAATAGCCCAAGAGTTCCCAAGAGAGCAAAGTCTTACTGTTGATGTAAAGAGTTCTTGCCCCTAGATTGGCTGTGTTGAGACACTACAAACCCCTCTGGATTCCTTCACTAGCCCCTCGAGGTTCTTTAGCTTTGGTTTGAAGGAACATTATAATTGGTATTAGCCTAATTGTACTGATCTATGTGGTAAATGAGGGAAAAAAAGAAACTTCAGAGGATAATCATATTTGAATAATCTTTAAAAGAACATCTGTATTTTGAAAAGATAATTATCATATGCCACTTAAATGCAATTTTTCAAAGTTGAAAATATGTCTCTCTCTAATTGAAATATTAATAGAGTACCAGGAGTTAGAGTTCTTTCCAATTTCTGAACTAAAATTATAGTTTTAAAACGATTACCACCAAGTTCTTAGAGGGTAATGACTGCAACTTAAAATTATGTGACTGTTGTGTCATTGTTAACTTTCACACCAAATGTATTGTTACTCTAAGAATTTTTGACAATGAGTGGGTTTACTATATATACATAGTTCCTGTTCTAGGTTTTTTTTTTTTTTTTTTACTGTACATAAAATATCCCAGCACAAAAAAGGCATTAATTGAGGTTTCTGTAATTAAAACTAGTTTTGCATTTAAGCTTAAAAACCTGACGTGGAACTAAAGTGACCAAGCATCTTAGTTTGCCAGGGAACCTCCAGTTTTTAGTCCTAAAAGTCTCAACATCTCAGGTAACCCCTTAGTCTTGGGTAAACCCAGATGGAGGTGGCTCTAAATGAAACTAACTTTAATAGGTTTATGATAGTGTTACAATTTTAGTCGAGTTGCAACTTAGCAAATAAACCAAATAATGTTTTATTCCTGACTGAATAAAGGGTCCTGTTTCCACTTGTAGAACTTAGTTGTTGCAGAGATGTTGACAGTCATTATACTGGTCCATTTTCGTACTGCTATGAAGAAATACCCAAGACCGGGTAATTTATAAAGAAAAAGAGGTTTAATAGACTCATAGTTTTAATGGCTAGGGAGGCCTCGCAATCATGGCAAAAGGCAAAGGAAGAACAAATGCATGCCTTACCTGGCAGCAGGCAAGAGCGTATGTGCACAGAGTATCTGCCCCTTATAAAACCTTCAGATCTTACTTGAGACTGATTCACTATCATGAGAATAGCACGAGGAAAAAAATCCACCCTCATGATTCAATTACCTCCCATTGGGTCCCTCCCACAATACGTGGGGATTATGGGAGCTGCAATTCAAGATGAGATTTAGATGGGGACACAGCCAAACCATATCAGTCATCAAATCCAACTTTCTTATTTCATAAATAAAGAAACTAAGTCCTAGAAGAGGGACTCTGCCCGTCTGTTTACAGAGCCTACACTGAAAGCTAGACCATATACTCTTTTGAGAGGGATGATATGACCAACTCCTAGCCCAGGGCCTATACCATGTAATAGGTACTTGTAAACTTTTTAAAAATAAATGAATCAGTTAATAAATGAATATTTTATGTAATTGGATCACATCATTTCGTGAGTATTTTCTTCGTATCATTAAAAAGTCTTTGAAGCTATAATGCTTAATGTCTGCATAATTCCACCAATGTTTTGTTGGTGAGAAATGAGGACTTTCTGAATTATTTGTTACCACATATAATAAACATACTTGTTTAAAAATGCTATTTTGATTATTGATCTAGAGACATAAACTACACTTTGGATTATCAAGTTAACATATACAACTTTTTCTGTTTTCCTTACTGTTTACCTTTAGTGAGTCAAAATTACTAAAAAATAAAAGAATATTTGGTTGCTTTTGTAAAGATTTCAGCTGACAGAAGAATTTTAGAATTTTCTTTGTTTTTAATTATTTGCTCTCCATTGTGATTTCTCTTTTGTCAGTATAACAATAGTTAACATAAACTAAGAACTAACTCTGGGCCAAGTACCACACCTAGTCATGTTTTTTGTATTGAGAGAGGTAGTCTAGTATAACAATTAAGAGCCAGAGCTCTTGTTGGGGTCCCTAGGTTTACCTTCCAGCCCAACGCTGTGTGAATTGCAGCAAGTGACTTAAGCTCTCTGTGCCTGTAATAGTACCTGTATCATGGAGTTTTGTAAGGATTAAAGAAGCGATATGTAACAAACCTATGTAACAAACCTGCACACATACTCCCTGAGTCGAAAATAAAAGTTGAAAGAATAGTCATTAAAAAAAAGAAGCTCAGCATCACTAATCATTAGGGAAATGCAAATCAAAACTACAAGGAAGTACTACCTCCTACCCATTGGGATAGCCATGATACAAAACAAAAACAAACAAAAGAAACACCAGTGCTGGCGAGGATGTGGAGAAATTGGAACCTGATATGGTTTGCATTTGTGTACGCACCCAAATCTCATGTCAAATTGTAATCCCTAATGTTGGAGGTGGGGCCTGGTGGGAGGTAATTGGATCATGGTAGTGGATCCTTCGTGGATGGTTTAGCACTGTCTCCCTAGAGCTGTTCTTGTGATAGAGTTCTCATGAGATCTGGTTGTTTAAAAGTGTGTAGCACCTCCCTCATCTCTCTCTTTCTCCTTCTCTGGCCATGTAAGACATGCCTGCTTCCCCTTGGCCTTCTGCCATGATTGAAAGTGTCCTGAGGCCTCCCAAGCCATGCTTCCTGTACAGCCTGCAGAACGTGAGCCAATTAAACCTCTTTTCTTTATAAATTACTCAGTCTTGGGTATTTCTTTACAGCGGTGTGAGAACAGACTAATACAGAATGCTGGTGCACTGTGGATGGGACTATAAAATGATTCAGCCACAGCAGAAAACAGTATGAGAGTTCCTCAGAAAATTAAAACTAAAATTACCATATGACACAGCAATTTTACTTCTATGTGCCCAAAAAAACTGAAAGCAGGGTCTCAGAGAATTATTTGTATACCCACATGCATAGCAGCATTATTCACAATAACTAAAACATGGGAGCAACCCAAATACCTATTGTGGGATGACTATATAAACACAATGTGGTATATGCATATGTATTAGTCAGCTTTCATGCTGCTGTTAAAGACATACATACCTGGGACTGGGTAATTCATAAAGAAAAAGAGGGTTAATAGACTCACAGTTCCACGTGGCTGGGGAGACCCCACAATTATAGTGGAAGGTGAAAGGTATGTCTTACATGTCAGCAGACAAGAGAGAATTGAGAACTAAGTGAAAGGGGATTCCCCTTATAAAACCATGAAGTCTCATGAGACTTATTCACTACCATGAGAACAGTATGGGGGAACTGCCCCCATGATTCATTTATCTCCCATTGGGTCCCTCCCACAACATATTGGAATTATGGGAGCTACAATTCAAGATGAGATTTGTGTGGGGACAAAGTCACACGATATCAACATACAATGGAATATTATTCAACTTTAAAAAGGAAAGAAATTCTGACATACCCTACAACATGAATATGAAATGAGGACATTGTGTTAAATGGAATAAATTAGTCACAAAGACAGATTCTGTATGATTGCACTTATATGAGATATTTGAAGTCAAAATCATACAGAAAGTAGAATAGTGGTTGCCAAGGGATACAGAGAGTGGGGAATCAGGAGTTATTATTTAATAGGTGTAGAGTTTCAGTTTTGCAAGATGAAAAGAGTTATGGAGATGGACAGTAGTGATAGTTGCTTAACATTAGGAAAGTACTTAGTAACACTGAACTGTACACTTAAAATGGTTAAGATGGTAAATTTTATGTTCATATATTCTATCACAAGGGAAAAAAAGAAAAAAAGGTGTGGATGTGCCTAGCATGTAGCAAGCACTCACTAATGTTAATGTATTCGTTAATGTAATTGTCACTGGGAACAAATGAACCAAAGACCATCACTGGCTTAAATAAGGCAAGTTTATTTCATACTCAAATAACAGAGTGTGTTTCTGGGCCCAGTGGCCTCTATCTGGTCAGTCCATGCCCAGGTGACTTCCATTTTTTGGTTCTTCATCCTCTATGGCTGTAGGCTTTCTTTCCATTTGCACAGAGGATAGGGAGAGAAAGACATAAAAGGATCACAGGAATGTTCTATGGGCCAGCCTAAGAAATGGTGCATATTGCTATTGGTGAGAACTCAGTTACGTAGCTACGTCTAATAGCAAGGGAAGCTGGGGAATGTAGGCTAGGTATGGGCCTAGAAAGTGGAGGAAGAAACTGTGCAATATTTTGCAGCCTGTATTAGCATTACAGTAACGTATATTAGAAATACAGTCATCTCTCCTTCTGTTGGCTGTTATCTTACTTAGTCTTCATAACAAGTCTAGTAAGATAAGAGAGAAAATGACTAGTTCAGGGACATCCTGTAAGTAGGAGGGCATCATTACAGCAAACAAAATGTGTCCAGAACTAGAGCAGGGCTTTCAAGTCCTCCGTTTAAAACTATTCTTGGTTTACTGCTATTCTAATTACCATCAATACAGTGCCTTCTCAAAGTTCCCAGAGACTTCAAGCAGCGAGAGGAAGACTGTCAGCTGCCTCGCCAGAAGCATGTACTCTTTATTCTTTCAGTACCATCTTTCTTCTTTCAGTAACCATAAAACTTTAAGGAAGTTCTGAATTGTTCCTCACAAGAAAGTGCTTAGAGACTACTGCACTGGAATTCAGTGTCCCTATTATCATAAATGTAATATCCACACTTACTTTTAGTCCTGGGGGCTTATGAGGCTATAAAAGAAATATTGGCAGTTAGAGGAGACACAGTTGGCTTATACACATTTTGCAGAAACACTGAAGTCCACAGAATTTCCTCTACATTTCATTTTGTACCTTCTTTGTCAAGTTTGTCTCCATTTTGCCTGCACTTTATTTTATTTTTATAATAGAGAACTCTCATACTTGTTATCTCTGAGTATGTTAACAGTCTCTTTTGAGTAAAACATTGCCCTTATTGCATTTTCATGGATAACTGAGTGTTCATGGATAACTGAGTTATCCATCACTTACTGGACCAATCATCTGTTAAAAACCATATTTTCTTGAATTCAGTTCACATTGTACTCTTGAGTCTGTATCACTTTGCTCAAACTTTGCATCACATACTAGCTATCTTTTGGAAAGGAGACTGAGCTTTTGAGTTTTGTAGCCTTGGAGAAAGAAGGCAGATAATGGTGATTTATCTAGTTACTAGAAGCAAGGTCATATTACAATTCAGTTCTGTTAGGTCCAGAGGGTTTGGGAGCTGCAAACAATCTCAGAGACAATCTAGCTCAACCCTTTCATTTTACGGATGAGCAAACTGAAGTCTCAAGAAGACCAACATATCTATTTACTTCAGTGCATTTGGGAAATTTGAAAGGATTTAAATCCTTACCCAAGGTCCACTGCTGGTTAACAAGAGAGCTGGACTAAAATCTAGTTTTCTTGATTATTCTCTTATTTTAATGTAACTTTAATGAGGATCTTCAGCCTCCCAGAAGTTCATGGGATATACTCTTAAGACTCTGCTACTTTGTTATGTATGAACGCCAAAGCGCAGAAAACAAAAGCAAAAGTATATGTATGGGAGTACATCAAAGTAAAAAGCTTTTGTACAGCCCAGGAAATAATCAAGAGAGTGAAGAAACAGCCTATAGAATGGGAAAATATATATGTCTGATACATACCATACATCTAATAATGGGTTAATATCCAAAATATATAAATAATTCAATTGTAATAAAATAACCCAATTACAAAATAAGCAAAATATCTGAATAGACATTTATCAAAAGAATATGTACAAGTGGCCAAAAGGTATATGTAGATTTTTAAAAATGCTCAAAATCACAAATTATCAGAGAAATGAAAATCAAAATCACAGTGAGCTATCACTTCACGCCTGTTGTAGTAGCTATTATCAAAAGATGAAAGATAAATTTTAGGAAGATTGTGGAGTAAAGCAAACCCCTGCACATTGGTGTATAAGTTGGTTCAGAATTGACTACCCAAATATGTTAATTGTACTATATATATATATCGAGAGAGAGAGAGAGAGAGAGAGAGAGAGAGATATCTCCAGAGTCCTGAATCAAAGTCAGAAGATTTGAGTGTGTCATTTGCCAGCCATGTACCACCTCTCAATGTGCCATTGACAGGCTCTCAGTTTTCACATGCTCCCTGAGAAGTCAGAGTAAAAACATCCATCTGGCCTGCCTCCTTAGTTTCCAGATCAAATCAAACTGTTCAGGGAAGTACTTTGCAAATGGCGGAATGCGTAGGCCATTTCTTCATGATGCTGGGATAGCGGAAGGCTCTGTGAGCTGTGGGCTTCCAGAATGGGGTTCCCACAGACTGTGGCAGGCTGTGCCGTGTGTATGATGTCCAATGCAGACTGCACCACCCAAATGCACCTGCTCCCTTTCACTACAGTGTCAGGGAAGAAAACAAAACTGCCAGCACACCTTGGGACAAATGACTAAATGCCCTCCAGACATTTCAGAGTCCTCTGCCTTTCATACTTCAGTTCTTCCTGAAGGAATCTGGGGCTGGAAAGCAGGAAGCAATTTACTGTGGAATTTTTTTCCATCACAGGTAAGATTTAGTTTTAATAATAATAGTGATAATAATGGCTAATTAAGTATGAACTGTGTGCTAGGCATGGTGCAATTTCTGCATGAATTCTATGTAATTCTTAGAATAATCTCAAGAGACAGATGCTGTTTATTACTCTCATTTTTTCCAGATGAGGCCACTGAGACCTTACTGAAGTTAGATCACGTGCCCTGGATCACCAGGCTGATACCAGAGCCCATGCTCTCAACTCTGATGTGATCTATAGTCCCAGATTCTATCTATGCCGCAATACCAGAATCTGAAAGGCCTGCACTGTTTTGATCGTATCAACACTGATACTATGCCTATTGGGGGAAAAGATTCTAAATTCAAAAAACAAAATGGACTGAAGTAGTGTCCAAGGAGCTGTCCTCAGATATATTAATTCTTTCTAAGATGAGGAACAGAAGGAATACTGCTCACATTTCATCAGTATATTCACAAAATAATATTTGAAAGTAAATAGTAGGGTATTTGAAAATTTTTCGTATGTAAAAGGTAATGAAATTTCCATTTGTGATACTGGAGCTTTCTGAGTGGGGCACAGGGAGGGCCAGCCATGGACCATGTGCTTGATTCTTAAGGGTAGGGAAGTTATATGGGATGTGGTTTGCCAGATCACTTCCTGGAATGTCTCCTGGCTCAGTCTTAACACTCATCACTTTCCATCTCTGACCCTCTAAGTTCTTTATGTGTAAAATGAGACCACTGAAAGTATCTGTGGTATTTATACTTTCTTTCCCCTGCAGAACTCTTTGGTTAAATTAAATCATAAGGAAACACCATATCAGGCCAGTTGTGGTGGCTCATGCCAGTAATCCCAGCACTTTGGGAGGCTGAGGCAGATGGATCACTTGAGATCAGGAGCTCAAGACCGGACTGGCCAACATGGTGAAACCTTGTCTCTACTTACAAATACAAAAAGTAGCTGAGCATGGTGGCATGCACCTGTAATCCCAGCTACTGGGGTGGCTGAGGCAGGAGAATTGCTTGAACCTGGGAGGCAGAGGTTGCAGTGAGCCGAGATTGTGCCA